ACACACACACACACACACACACACACACACACACACACTGAGGCTGTTCAACAGCGTTTGTTTGCAGGGAAAATGAAAACACAGATGTGTGCAGTCTCAACAAAAGAGCAGTCATAAGCGTTCTGGTGTTTGCCAGAGAAAATGCCACTAATCTCACTGTCCTGTGATCAGCATCCATTTAAATGCACAAGCAGAACAAAATAATCAGCTGTCATTATACAAATGAACTAGTGCTGACGTTAGACATCGGTGTAACACACTAGCACGCATATAGCACAAGTATGCGCCCTCATTTGCATACTTGAGAACTGAAACCAGTACTTACGATCCAGCTCTTCAGCGAATCCTGCGTTAGATCAGATTATAATGATAATAGTAATTGGTCCGATCAGGCTGTAGGAATGATAACAGACTGGTAACTGATTATAGAAATGATCATTAGTCGGATTCTCGTTGCTTTTGTCTGCGGATATCAGGCTCTCCGTTATGAACTCAATAAGCAGGAAGCTGCCGGATGAAACCACGTGTCTGTCAGAGCTGATGCTTAAAGGCGCAGCGACCATTAAATTCAAGCCTCTTTTTTTGGTGAGAAAAACAGTTTAATGTGAATCCAAGGGTGTCAAAGTGCAGTGAGATCAGCTTTCTTGGAACAATCGGTCGTCACTTCTGAGATTTGGCCAAGATAAGGCATGTGATCAATTACAGTATTTCTCCCTTTGAGCAGAGGGCTTTCCCAAACTACTTTTCTGAGGGAATCCCAAACGTTTGGAGACGATCCATAACATCTATATTCAAGGTTGCACCACTCATGGTTCTGATGTACCTGACCTACACATGTACCTGACCTACACATGGGGCAGTCGTGTTCATGGATAGACCAAAAGTCAGACTATGAGGATGCGTCCTTGTGTAACTTCTTGTTTCTGTTCAAAGACAATAATTGTGAAAAATAGATTTCTGACTTGTTGCCAATTATCACTTAGATTCAGTTTAGTTGTTTAATAAAGTACCTTAATATGATTCATCACTCAGATGTAGCTTCTCATTTGTTGTGTTCTTCATATATATTTGAAATACAGGTGTCTTCTGGCAAGTTTTTGTTTTGCTCCTACTGGTTACCTTGAAGGCAAGTTTTATTGTGTTATATATAATATAGAGACTTATTTTTGTTTAGGAAAACTGTTGAGGTTTTATACATGATAATGGAATTTAGATGAACACTACTGTCTGTTGTCTGCCATGTAAAGATTTTTTTTTTTTGTATAACATTTCAACAGTGTAACAGTGGAAGATAAAGCACAGTGCACTGCTAATTTACTGCAGTTTAGCACATTTGAGTATGGAAAAGGTAGAATTCTGAACATATCTATATACATTTCTCAATCTTTCAGTTTTATCATTGTCATTCTGGTTTGTGCATATTAAATGTGTACATTTTTACAACCTAATGTAAAAAGGCTCAGAAATTAACAGGCGCAGTATTTTTTTTAGCATTTCAGTTTTTATATTATTAATATTTTTGTAAATATCTTGACTGAGCTTTTATTTTTCCTGTTTTCACTTTAATTTTATGTGACGTTTTAGTAATTATGTTGTGTTTTTGTTTTATCCCTGAACAGACGATAACACCCTTTAAAGTCTGACAGATTCTGATTGGCTGACAGTGTTTTTATCGTTTATTAGTTGGAAATAACTGATCTGAAAGTGATTTCAATATCGTTCCTCTGTGGTAGTTGTGGTGTGGACTTCCCTATTCTCACAGAGTTAAAACGATTATTAAAACTGTATAGTTTTAATAATATTAATACTGTATATTGTATATTTATTGTTATCATTGGAGTGAACCTTAAATGTGAAGCCATTTTCAACAAGGCCAAAACAAAAACAAACAAAAAAAGACTATAGCTGATTATGGTTCAAATCATATTTTATTATCATTTACACCGTTTTTATTATTAGGATTAAACCATGAACCTTTTTATAGTTGAAAATGACATTTATGTGGATAAGACCGATCAGAAGGAAGGGTTCCCAAACCCAACACGTGACTGCAGCTCGTGAATCTCCTCTAGAAGTGACTCCTCTTGCAAATTCATCTAAAAAAACGAAACTTATAAGAGGTCAAAATTGAATTTTGATACCACAGACTTCACAAACACATTGACATTAAACAGTACAAACCTTTAGGGCATATTTATATGACTGCTCTGCCTCTAGTTTTCTGCCAGTCTGAAAGGACAAAGCAACTAAAGTCAAAATAATGCTTCTGTTGATCCAGTGTGTGAAGAACCGTTTCGTTTCCCATTGACTTCCATAGTATATTTTGTCCATAATATGGAAGTCAATAGGACCTGAAAACATTTGGTTACCAACATTCTTCAAAATATCTTCTTTTGTGTTCCACAGAAGAAAGAAACTCACACAGGCTTAGAATGACATTGAGGGAGAGGAAATGATGGCTGCCTTGTGTGAAGAAGTGTAAAGAAAGAAGTGCAAAGCGAGGGAATAAATAGGGGCTTTCGTACCGCGTAGTTCTAGGAATTAGCCAGCAGGGTAGTTCCTAGAGAACCAATTTCTCCCTCGGGCCGTTTTCCTGGTTGCATTCGCACCGGCAGCAGAAACTCTGAAGCGGCCGACAGCGATGTCTTTTTATAACGGAGATGGAGATGTAAATGCACAATTTACGCGATTGCAAGAGCAAAAGTTGGGCTAAGAGACTAATTTTTTTATGACAACTTGCAGTGTTACTGTGACGAGAGGGGCGGGGCCAAGAGCCGTGGGAACGGAGCGAGAACCTTTTCATAGTACCTGAACTACGGAGGAGTCCCACGGAGGAGCTCCGGAAGGATAAAAGGAGGAGGGACGACAGTGTTGGAGGAGAGAGGACCAGGCCTGGTCACTCCTGTCCACCGCCCTCGCTCCATTCCCACGGCTCTCGGCCCCGCCCCTCTCGTCACAGTTACATATCATCGAAGCTGAGAAAAGAACACAACACCGCAGACAACAGTTAAATGCCGTTATCGCCATTTTCCATGTTCGTGGAGTAAATATGTTTACATGGCTTTTTAAAAAGCGGGGTTTCGCGTGCGTTTGGCCAATCAGCGTACACTTACGTCACTGATAGTTCCTATAGAGCTGTTTTAGACCCTGCTCTGAAGTAGGTTCCTCCAAACGGTGTTCCTAGAACTAAAATTCCTAGTTACTGCGGTGCGAACATGCCAAAAAGTGGGTAGTTCCACAATTAGTTCAGGTACTATGAAAAGGTTCCCGCGGTGCGAAAGGCACTAATGGGAGAAAACCGTCCGAATGCATTTGTCAGTCACTTACCCATAAACAGACTAGCGACAGGTAACCCCACACCTCTGGATTCCTGTTATTCAGTGCGTTGGCTTCAGTCAGCGCCTCTTCAGCCTCAGTCAGCTCCTCCAGCTGATCAACAGCACATTTAAATGCATATAACAACAACTAACCCTAAAGCCTACTGTATCATATTTGGATATACACATTTCTAAGGCCTCGAAATGATCAACTTGTTTAAAACCTTGCTGAAAAACCTGTTGTCTGATTCATAGTTTATACTTTTTTAGCAAGTAAAAGGTCTTTTTGTACAGTACAGTACAAACTCTCCTTCTACTGTGGCTCCAGCAAAGCTCTCCTGCTTACGCTGACAAGCTACAAGCCAGAGACGTCCAGCTTTTCTAAATGCATTATGGGTTTGTACTCACTCTATAGCAGGCGATTCCCAGTCTGAGCCAAGTAAGACATGACGGCGAGCGTTTGCAGGCACGCAGGAATACAGGTCTGGCTTTTTCATACTACAGAGGGAATGAAGCACACATGAAAACTGCTTCATGAAAACTCCAAAGCAGCTGATCTGAACTCACTTCTCCTTTCTGCAGATAGATGGAGCCCAAGCGAAGGTAGATGGAGTGTGTGTCTGAGGCGTCCAGCACAGAATCCAGCGTCCGTTCATAGCAGTTCTGAGCCTGAGCGTAATCACCCTTCTCGTAATGCAAGTGACCCCACAGGGCCCATATGTCTGGATTCTGTGCAGACCAAATCATAGGAGAAATAATGAATTTGAAGTGCATCTCAAATAAAATCTGTGGAAAGGAGATGGAAAGATGCAGACCTGGAAGTTGTCGGTCAGCGCCTCCTTCAGGCTGGCCTCGGTGCTGTCGTGTTCTCCTCTCAGCAGGTGTAGTTTGGCGAGAGCGAGGTGATACGAGCTGATGGTGCCTCTGTCTGGAGACAGCAGCTCTAGAGCCAGAGCACGCTGGGCCATCTGGGGACACCAACACAATCCAGCATTAACTTCAGGATTAGCACCACCTTCAGTTCAAAAAAAGATTTGGTATGCTATGTAGAAAAACTACTGAAGTCCACTCTGAATGAACGGCAAAAAATTGACAATTCAGAAAACGGATATGAAGTCTCTCATTAACATATGAACAGCCAGATTCTGCAACTCGATGCTGAATTACACAAGTAAACAGAGGTTAAACAATCTTATAAAACAGATCATTCTGGTCCTTGATTCTGATTGGCTGAGCCGCGTTCGAAGCCGTAGTAAATTACTCTACAAACATACACCTTTGTTTACTTTGTGTGTTGTTCGGCAACCACTTTGTTGAACCACAACTGTTTCTGAGGAACTACATTGTTTGGTGGAAGAATACTGTTTTTATTATCATTACACTTTATTTGCTCTGTTTTATTTTGTGAAACCTTACTATATATATGGAATAACCGTTTTATACGGTTTATACGGACTCCGCGCCGCGTCGTGCCTAACAACGCAAACCACGGCTTCTTGGGGCTTATTGCTTTAATAACCTACAGAATATTTGAACGTAGAATATATGAAAGTTTGGGGTTGGAACGTTGTTGTTTTTTTAAAGAAATGAATACATTTATTCAGCAAGGACCCATTCAACTGATCAAAAGCGACAGCAAAGGCATTTATAATGTTACAAAAGATTTCTGTTTTGAATAAATGTTCTTTTGAACTTTCTATTCATCGAAAAATCCGGAAAAAGTCCGTTTCTATGAAGCAGCACATCTTTTCAGCTTTGATGATAATAATAAATGTTTCCTCAGCAGCAAATCAGCATATTAGACTGATTTCTGGAGGAATGATGCTGAAAATTCAACTTTGAATCACAGGAATAAATTACATTTTAACATATATTCAAATAGAAAACTGTTGTTTTAAATAGAAATAATATTTCACAATATTACTGTTTTTACTGTATTTTTTGGTCAAATTGATGAGACTTATTTCAGAAACATTAAAAGTCTTTTCGGACACTAAACTTTTGAATGATAGTGTAAGCCATTTACATAAAGAAGTCTTAAAGGAACAGCAGCAAAAACGGCCTTTTCAACAAAGGGTCTAAGAGAGAGAGAGAGAGTGTGTGTGTGTGTGTGTGTGTGTGTGTGTGTGCGTGTGTGTGTGTGTGTGTAAAATAGCCATAAACACTAAATTATGCCTGTTTTTGG